GGACAGTGGACCAGCATTCAGGTTTGGATTCTCCAAGGAAAAATATAAGGAAATGCTCAAGCTCTAATGGTTCTTCTACTTTGCTGTTTCTAGCTTTGGCCATTCAAAGCAAAGTCCTTGGATTGGTTATAAGTGAGATACTCTCTAACTTAAACCTCTTTTTAGTAGAACCACCTGAAATATTAATATCTCATCTACTGCTTAGTGAGTTCTTGGCTCCCCCCAAAAGAAATCTTGTGGTCTTGGGACTATGTTATCTTACCTATTTGCCTTTTGGACTATAATTTGAAAAAGAAAAAGTCTTCCTTGTATTCTTGCGAAAACTTTGGCTCCTGAATAGATGACAAATAGGAACTACACCTTGAAAATCCTGGAAACAACTGAACAAGCAGAAATGATCAACTCACTGACATTCTGACAGAAATAGAAAAACGAATCCTAAAATTTATATGGAACCACAAAGATCCAGAATAGCCAAGGCTATCCTGAGCAAAAAGAACAAAACTGGAGGGATCATATTCCTTGACTTCAAATTATACTACAGAGTTGTAGTAAGCAAAACAACATGGTACTGGCATAAAAACAGACACATAGACCAATGGAACAGAATCGAGTACCCAGAAATAAATCCACACATCTGTAGTGAACTTATCTTTGACAAAGTTGCCAAAAACATATGGTGGGGAAAGGGCAGTCTCTTCAATAAACTTCACTGGCCCAGAACTTTGTCTTGAGGACAAACCCAGATGCAAGAGAAGCTGGTAAATTAGCCTTTAATTGAGAAGCTATGCACCCAGAAAGCAAGGAGTTGAAGTAAGCAAGGAAGAATAGGTTTTATTGATATCAGCCTGACTCAGAAATAAAAAAGTAAATAAATACATTAGTGTTCAGATGGTATATAGAGGAAAATTAAGAAAGGAATGGGGCTAAGAGTACCAGGAAGTAAGTAGAGGGAGAGGAAGTGGGCTTGTTATCTTACATAAGATGGTCAGGCAAGGCCTGAATAAATTGGTAAGGTACCTTCTGAGTAGAAACCTGAAAGAAATGAGAAAAACAGTCATGCAAATATCTGAAGAGCCTTTCAAGAAGAAGAAATAGAAATTGCAAAAGTCCTTGGAAGGCCTTGGTGTATTCAAGAAAGAGCAAGAAGAGTGTGATAATATGGAGCAAACAATGGGGAGAGTAAGAGATAAGATGAAAGAGGTGTGTGGGGGCCCTGACTCTTAGCCACTGGAGGGTTTTCACTTGGAGAGAAAGGTGTGGGAATGACATGAGCTGATTTCTGCTTCAAAAAGTCTGTTTCTGGGTCAGTTGCAGGGACTCATACCTATAATTCAAGCACGTTGGGAGGCTGAAGCTAGAGGATTACTTGAGGCCAGGAATTTGAGGCCAGCCTGGGCAACATATCGAAATTCCGTCTCTAAGAAAAAAAAAAAAAAATAGTCAGGTGTGGTGGCACACACCTTTAGTCCCAGCTACTTGGGAGCCAAGGTGGGAGAATCCCTGGAGCCCATGAGTTCAAGGATGCAGTGAGTTATGATCATACCACTGCACCTTAGTCTGGGCGACAGAAAGAGACCATGTCTCAAAAAAAAAAAAACAAACAAAAAAGAAAGTTTGCTCCAGCTGCTTTGTGGGAAATAGAGAAGGGAGAGGGCAGAAGCAGGGAGACCACTTAGAAGGCCATTGCAAATATTCAGATGTCATGATGGCTTGAGGCAAGGAAATAGCAGTGGAGGTGGTGAGATGTGGTTGGATACTAGATGTATTTTAAGCCAAGAGGATTTTGGGATGAATTGCATTCAGGGTAACTAAAAAAAGGCTTATCCATTCACCACTCTAATAGTCACTTCCAAAGAATCTGAGAGAGAACAAGATAATCAAATTTCTCTCAGGCTAGGACAGTGGTGAATAAAGCTCTAACAGTTTTGAGATGCTATAAACCAAGTGTGATGTGACTGAAATTGCTTTGCATTCTACAGGCTGGAGGGTGGGCCAGCCAGAGCAGTTCTATATAATGACATAAAGTAACAGTCTATATGAAAACAGAAAATGTTTAAAGAGATATATTGCAGTAAAAGAAAAATGTTACAACCTAGATAAAGGGTAAGGAATTAATAACCTCTAAACAGAATAAAAATCGAATGGAGAGTTCCATCTGCCCAAATCAGATAAAAAGTTGAAAGATGTTACCATGAAATTTGGGTACAACTAAAACTTTAAAAATCCCAGAGGATGCTTGATGTACACTAGTCGCAAAGAAAATTCCAGTTGACCTTCATAAACTTGGGAGGTGGGCACCTTTGTTTCTCCATCACTTAGCATAGTACCTGGCACCATGTAAGTCCTCATGGAGCTTTTCTGAACTGTTTAACCAGATGCAACCTTTCACTCTCAACTCAAACATTTCCTTCTGACCCCTCTTTGGGGAATAATATATCTCGCTTAAATTGTAATTATCATTATACCTGTTACCCTTACATGTATTTGCATCTTTTTATCCTCTATCTCACTGCTTTGTTCATATTATATGTTCAATATATATTTGATAATACATGATGAAAAACACAGCCTGCTTTTGGTTTTCAAAAGTTTATTAATGTTGACATTGTGGGACCTAAAAGATTTTTTCAAGTTTTCTATTTTTGCCAAGTCATATGAAATGTTATAGTTCAACTATAGTTAACCAAATGTAAAACAAAAACAAACACTTCTATAATATCTAGTAACTCTCCCAAACAATCTTGCTCCTCCCTTGTTAAACACTGACATTCTTTGATAGCTCTTTATCCCTCAAAGAGGTCATACACTTATTTTCTGTTGTCCTGTACTTGAATTATGATTGTCCAAATTCAATTGTATTAAGTTCGACTTTTAGATCAGCTTTAGGAATTGTACCAGTTTTAAAATAAATTCTCTAAAAATCATGACAGAATATGAAACTGTCATCATCTTTGTAGGTTTCTATACATACCAGTTCGTTCACCAATCCTTAAAGAGATGATATAACCCATCTCAATGACATTTGACCTGACCCAGGCCAAACCCATTTCTACAATTACAATGCTCTTTGGATCTGATATTTGAAGCCCTTTTTCCTAATACCACAAACCATTTTTGTCTTCTCAAATGCACTTTTCCTCTTCATTCTATTCAAAGCACTGGAAAAGCATAACATTTCTCCAGCACCTCAAATCAGAGTGAAAAAACTCCACTCTTATATCATTGTTTCGGCTGCAAACACATTGGCTGAGAGAAAGCTACCAAGTGTAGTAATTTATCTACCATTTTCAGGATTTTTGAATCTCTAAAGGTTGTTTAAACTGGGACAATAATTATTAAGGACAATTAAAAGAATGTCCTGAGCTAAAAAAGAAAACATTAGGAAAAAAGTGAAGAAAAATAGAGTACTTGAATCCACCACCGTCAGATCAATTTTCTATAATAGTATATTCTAAGGACTGGGCAATCAGTCAACAAACTGTCATTGAGAAACTATTTTATTATAGGGATTGGGATAGCCTTTGCAGAATACCAACAAGCATATGTCTCTATAGTAGAAGACAAGTTAGCAAATGTAAAAGAAAAAAGAAATTGAAGAACAAGGCTACAGTTTACAAAGCTACACAACTTATTTGTACAAGGAACAAGGCCCATAAAAGCTAAAAGGAGAAAGACTTCCCCAAGAACTAGAATGACATAAAAAGGTTTCTGAGTAAAACTTAAAGAATGGGCAGATAGACTTTGCACAGTCTACAGAACTAAGACTCAGTACTAAAATTTAGGAGAACAAAAGCACAGAAGATAAATTTAAGATATTAATATGTTACAAAACAGTAGAACATTTCAGCTAAGCTGGAAGACTAGGGAAAATGGGTATAATAATTGAAGGCAAGTTTTGGCCAGATGACAGCAGGCCTTCAGTTTCAGGATGAGTTGGAAGTTAATCATTTGGTCAATAGTAATGAATGATAGCTTTTGAGTAGTTGAGCCAGTCAGCAATTCTTTAACAACTTCAAAAGGGAATTCCTGACTTCAGGACCCTAGGCTAGGAAGAGATTGAATAGACTCTAATGGCTCAATTGGGTAGAAGATAGACCACTTTGGCCCTCTCACTTAGAGTAGTAAAATAAGTTACTTTTTCCTACCATAAAATGTGCTATAAATGATTTCTTGCACTGGAAATTTTGGATTCTGAGTTATCTTTCCCTGTCCTCTTACCTGATGGTTATCAGAAAAAGGCCAGGGAAAGATGACTCAATTGGGAATCGTAATTTTCCAGTGAAAAAAAGAAATCTTACATACATTTCATGCAACCTTTAATTGGGTGATTAGAACTCCTACATTATAAAATTCATTTTAAGCCCAAAGTTGTTACATAAATTCCGAGATTTATCGAGAATGGCTTAATTTCAAAGCTTGAATGTCAAATGAATTGTAGATTAAGATTTTTCCTATTGCCCCAAGAGTGTATTTTATTTGGTAAAAGAAACATCTACTAGCTTTTGTCAGGATCAGTCTTGAATTATACAAGTTTTGAAATGAGAAGTCTTCAGAAATTCATCCCACAATGTTAACTGTGGTGTTTTGTAAATCCCCTCTCCATTCATCTTCAAATTGTTTACTTTCTCAGAATATCTGACACAAGGACTCTGACAGTCCCACAGGTGGATTAACATTTGAGGACCTAACATGTCAGCACCAACTATCTCCAAATCCTATTAAAAAACACGCCCTTGAAAACACTAAAAACCACCTCTCCAGATCCCACCTCCAACTTCACTGAATCAGGAAACTTCAGGAGAGCCACCTGGAAATGTGTTTAACAAGCACCAAGGTGATTCTTATAATCTGTAAAGTTTGTTACAGAACTAAGAGTCCTTGCCCTGCAGGAGACAGTTTTCCTGTGGAGAAAGACCTGTAAACAATCACAGTGAGGCTACAGAATGCTCAGCTTTCACCAAGTAAAGAGCAGTAACATGGGCTAGGTACAGTTGAAGGAAGGTTTGATCAAAATCAAGATTTAATTCTCAAGGTCAGGGAGGTCTTTGGGTGCTGAGTTTCAGTCTCCACACAAAGATCAACATCATGAACCAGGTAATTCTTTGTTGTGGGGAGACTGCTGTGCATAAGATGCTTAACAGTATTCCCAGCCTCTGCCCATTTAGATACCAGTAGCACCTTTGCAACATGACAATCAAAAATTTTATCTCCACATAGTGCCAGGTGTTCCACGTGAATGAGGAATGGCAAAAATCTCTCCCTGGTTGAAGTCACTAGGATAGAAGTTATGGGAGGAGCTAGATCAGGACTTACAAGCAGGCCAGTGGAGAAGCACATGACTATATTGAATAAAATTTGTGACAGATACCTGCAGGTATAAAAGATAGATAGGTTAAAACACTAAGCAGCAGCAAGTGGGGAGAGGGGCAACTTGGGGGCTTCCCGTATGTACGCTAGGGAAAGTTAAGTCTCACCTTGTTCGTTACTCAAAAAGAAGGCAAAAACAAAAGTACGGCTTTGGAGACATAAAAGAATAGAGTGGGGCTGAGAGACACTCCTCCCTTAACACACACCACACCCAGAGCGGTGCTCAAACCTTTTCTCTAGGTTCGCGTACACTCGGTTAGACTGAGTAGGGATGATTTCGAGATTAGCCATTAACAGCAAGACTCACATTACCAGACTACAGGAGGCCCCCCATAGTCCTAAACCCAAATGCATTTGTGCTCACAGGCACACGCTACTTAAACGAAAACTAACCACCCCGCTAACAAGTGTTCACAGCCACTTTTCACTGACAACTGAAGTGGCTCTGAAAAGAGCCTTTGGGGTAAGGTAGTTGTTCTAGAGTGCCCCTCGAGCACTCTTACTTGGAGCTGGTGTACTTGGTGACCGCCTTGGTGCCCTCGGACACGGCGTGCTTGGCCAGCTCGCCGGGCAGCAGCAGGCGCACGGCCGTCTGGATCTCGCGGGACGTGATGGTGGAGCGCTTGTTGTAATGCGCCAGGCGGGACGCCTCGCCGGCGATGCGCTCGAAGATGTCGTTGACGAACGAGTTCATGATGCCCATGGCCTTGGACGAGATGCCGGTGTCGGGGTGGACCTGCTTCAGCACCTTGTACACGTAAACGGAATAGCTCTCCTTCCGGCTGCGCTTGCGCTTCTTGCCATCCTTCTTCTGTACTTTCGTAACAGCCTTTTTAGAGCCTTTCTTAGGAGCAGGAGCAGATTTTGCTGGATCCGGCATTTTCAACGGAGTGAAGCAGGAGACACCACAAGAAGTAATCCCCGACTACAACAAAACGGCCTACTTACGCGCTACTTATAGAGCTTGTATGCAAATGAAGGCTCACACAGTGGTGCGTTTTCATTGGTTAATTCACGATAGTGTCGTCACAGAGGGGGCGGGGTCCATGTAAATAATAGATTGGCCGTGCTTCTTTAGTGGTCATTAGAACAAGTCTTGTTAACCAATCAAAATGTTTCATTTCACACTAACCGTTTTACGTCAAGCGAGTTTTACCTCTTTGGGGTCTTTGTTTAGTTGTTTTTCACTTTCAATTGTAGGCATGAAATCCTAAATGCTAGCTAAAGACAAGTTAACTCTTCCCTTTTATTCTATGTGGAAGTTTTGTATTTTTCTCGTTTCTTGGAACAATACCTCATTGAAGTCTCTAGGCATTTACTTCTCTTAAATGACTGTTCCGGTTTGCGCTCCGCGTGTGTTGCGTAATGAGGAAGATACTAAGTCTTAAATTACGTTTATAAAATTCCTAAAGGGTTTATGATTTAAGACGGACTCGCCTCCACCCGTCCTCAGGATCTTATACATGTCGGGACTTAGTACAATGTCTTTTGTCCCCAAGCAGTTTTCCGTACAGAATTGGTAAAGTTGGCGCTCTAGATTTAAACCAAAGGCAGGGTTGGCGGGAACAGAGACCACGCCTCTGCCGTTTCCTCCGTCACGGTCCAAGTGACATGTAGATTCTGTAACGACATCTACCACTACCAGCGCTCCTTAATCCCTCTACTCAGACCACCCATGCAGAACAGACGGCCACCAGCTGAAAAGCTAGTACAGCTGCTCTTGGTGAAAACGTGAGTGGCTCTGAAAAGAGCCTTTATATCGACTTAAACACGCACGCCCTAGGCCCGCTCCCCGCGGATGCGGCGGGCCAGCTGGATGTCCTTGGGCATGATGGTCACTCGCTTGGCGTGGATGGCACACAGGTTCGTGTCTTCGAACAACCCCACCAGGTAGGCCTCGCTCGCCTCCTGCAGCGCCATCACGGCCGAGCTCTGGAAGCGCAGGTCCGTCTTGAAGTCCTGCGCGATCTCGCGCACCAGCCGCTGGAAGGGCAGCTTGCGGATCAGCAGCTCGGTGGACTTCTGGTAGCGCCGGATCTCCCGCAGGGCCACGGTGCCCGGCCGGTAGCGGTGCGGCTTCTTCACGCCGCCCGTGGCCGGCGCGCTCTTGCGGGCCGCCTTGGTGGCCAGCTGCTTTCTCGGGGCCTTGCCACCGGTCGACTTGCGGGCGGTCTGCTTTGTGCGGGCCATGATATTTCACTAGTTTTACTCAGGAAACCTCAGGCAGTCCTATTTATAGACATAGCCTCGTTTTGATTGGGCCAGAAAAGTTAGAAGTTTCCGGACTTGTGACCTCATTGGTTAAAATTCAAGCCAATTTACTGAAGCAGAAGATTGTTCTGCTAATCTTCCCTTATTCCTTCCTCTTTTACCTTTTCTATAATTTTATTGATCCTGGAATTTTTTTAGATCTTTCTTTAAATTGATGTAACTTTTGTAAAAGCAGTGTATGTTTTTCATACCTTAACAGGTTTCTTCCATATAAGCATGCCCTTCTATGAGCTAGGTTTCAGCCTACGTTTTAAGTTACCTCTTACTGTAACCCTTCTACCACCGCCAACAGCTGTGCTCAGCAGGTTAGATGCTTTATATCTTGACTGAAGCGTAACAAAACAATATGTAGTTGAAGGAATCAAAATTAATCTTACATATACTTGACTTCTGAACCGAGGCATACCCATTTCAGCTGTAATGTGTTGACTCCTACCAACTTGATATTAGAGCCTCTGATTTAGTTCAGCCATTTCCACCTGGCATGTGGTTTTCCCTCTTCCTCACCCCCACATTAATGGCCAGTTAGGTCCTGCAAATGAAATGCTTCTAAGTCAAACAAAGATAACACCAGAAATATTAATTTCTCCTTTATAATGTAGAATAGTCTATAGTCAAGTGCTTATCAACCAGATTACAAATTAAAACAAAGTTTCAAAGCAAATTATTCATTGCTTAGTAAATTGCTAACATTTTCTTCAGTAAAGTGTTTTTTTTTTGAGACAGAGTCTCGCTTTGTTGTCCAGGCTAGAGTGAGTGCCGTGGCGTCAGCCTAGCTCACAGCAACCTCAAACTCCTGGGCTCCAGCGATCCTTCTGCCTCAGCCTCCCGAGTAGCTGGGACTATAGGCATGAGCCACCATGCCCGGCTAATTTTTTATATATATATATATCAGTTGGCCAATTAATTTCTTTCTATTTATAGTAGAGACGGGGTCTGGCTCTTGCTCAGGCTGGTTTTGAACTACTGACCTTGAGCAATCTGCCCGCCTCGGCCTCCCAAGAGCTAGGATTACAGGCGTTGGCCACCGCGCCCGGCCTAAAGTGTTTTATAATGCTTAAAAATTTAATATTTTTTACCTGCTGACTTTCTTCAGGAGAAAAAAAAAAAAGTAAAAAAAAAAAAAAAAAAAAATTTAATATTTTTCCTATTCTCTATGAAGAGATGAAGATCCTTTGCCTTTTAGTTATTTCATATGCCTCGAGGTATGTATTGTTCAAAAAAGTGCATGTCATAAGACAATGGTTATGACACTTAAAAGTTGTATTAGTTAATATAAAACTTTTAATCATATGCTTATTTCATTGAAAAATCATTGCATACAAACCTTATAAAAACTCAAACCTGAGAACAAAAGCAGGCCTAAGAAGCTTAAAACTTACCTTGATGGTATCATTATGAATTACCATCTTCCTATGGAAGTCACAGTACAATAAAAGTGATTTCAATGGGATTTCCTGAACACTAAACACAATGTAGAAATTTGTTAGCTTAATTAAAATCTTCAAGAGTTTCTCATGGGTAGAAGCAGTTTTCTCTAGGGAGATCTAAAATGTCATACAAAAATGTAACTGATATGAACAAATGTCCCTCTCTGTGGTGTTTTTATAATAGTGTCTTACATATAGAGAGCACTACTCAATGTTTAAAAGTTCTTCTACATACAGTATGTCATTTAATCCCAATTCTGTGAAATAGATGTTATTTTCCTCACTTTACAGATAAGAAAACTGAGTCTCAGAGAAATAACAGTTTGTCCTGAATAAGAAACAAATCCTGCATAATATTCTAAAACAAAAGAGTAAAACTATTGCAATGGAATTTCTCATTTCTTTAGGCATGGGGGATACATTTTAAAGCACAAAGGCATTTTCCCATCATGTAATCAAACCATCGAGTGTTTCTCAAACTTCTCCACTGAACTATTCCCATCAGAAGGGGAAACTACCTCATGCAGTCTGGCTGCCAGTCCAAGGTAGCCCACTCAAGTGTCACATTTCTTTGCAATTTTCTTTCTTTATGATGTATGTATTCTTGACCATAATGTATGGATGTGTTTGTTTTAAATAACAAAAAGATTCTCAAATTCTATATTCAAATATAGAATTTAGGAGTCATGAGACTTATATTACTTTTATAGTTAATAATATAGAGAATAAGAAAATTCCAAAGTCTTCCTTTGGCTTAATTGAACAAAAAAAACTTATGGCTGGGCAAGGTGGCTCATGCCTATAATCCTAGCATTCTGGAGGCTAATGTGAGAGGATCCCTTCAGGTCAGGAGTTCAAGACCAGCCTGAGTAAGAGTGAGACCCCCATCTCTACTAAAAATAGAAAAAAATTAGCTAGGCAAATAAAAATAGAAAAAATTAGCCAGGCTTGGTGGCTTGCACCTGTACTGGGGAGGCCGATGCAGGAGGATTGCTTGAGCCTAGGAGTTTGAGGTTGCTCTGAGCCAGGCTGATGCCTCAGTACTTTAGCCAGGTGACAGGCTCTATCTCAAAAACAAAATAATAATAATAATTAAAAAAAATAAAAAATAAAGTATAAGAACTCCTACTTCTCAGAAAACAATTGTCAATTTAAATATTAATTCCAGCGTGATAAGACAATCAGAATTGTAAACTTTCAAGGGCTATAGGTAAAATTTCTCAGAATACAACAATCTGAGGTACAGCTGCCTTAGAAATCACCCTTATAACAAAATTCAGATCTATATTAGTTCAATTTTACCTAGTCCCCACATTGGACACTAGAGTGATATTCCTGTGAAAGTTCCTAATACACCATTTTATCAAAAGAAGCTTTATGATGCAAAAGAACCTCCACTTTAGAAGGAGTAAAGGGAATTTTGCTCCCAAAGATAGCTCCCTACTTGAGTATTTTGAATGAAAAGCCCTTACAGATGCTAAAAGAGACTTTTCCCCTGTCTACATGAAGACCTGACAAGACCCACCAAGGAAAACAATTGTTTTTCCTCTCCACCACCCACCTCCTATCTTTCAATCCTCTACCTCTCCCAAAGCACAGGCTGTAGTTCCCTTTTCTGCTTAAATCTGGGCCTACCAAAGAAAACAATTCCCTTTGGTTCTTTCCCTGAGTTTTCATTAACTGAACACATGTCACAGGAAGGAAAACTAAAGTCTGTCAACAAATCTGGACAGATTTTTGTACAAACCATTGTCTACTCTGTGGTCCTGACTGACTTTGTTCCAGGCCACTGTGTGTTCTTCAAGCCCATGGAATTTCTCTAAAAATCATTGACTATGCCCCTAAAATCATCTACACTTCCGCAGCTCCTTTTCCCCTGAGAAGTATGGTATATAAGCATCTGTACCCTATTGGGATACTGGGCAATCACTCTGTGATTCTCCCCATACACACAGTAGTAATAAATTTGTAAAACCTTTTGTCTTATTAATCTTTCCCATTTTTGAGTTGATTTTTCCCTGAACCTTCCAAGGGCAAAGGGAAAACTTCCCCTACAGCTGAAGGGGAAAGGAAATATTTCTCTTTCTAAAATTTCTAAAGTTTCTTTCACCAGAAATTGAAAGGGCTTACAGTCTGAAGACTGAGAACTGTAATTTCATTAATTAGCACAGAGGGAACAGGCATGAGAAGCTTAAAATTTACCACACAGGAAATAAGCAGGCAAAAGACAATTTTAATAAGTGAATTATTAGGCATGTAAGGTTTGTATGTTCATGTGTTTATTTTTAATACAAAAGTAATGAATTGAGTTAAAATAGATGCTCCAGGACTGTCTCTCTGCCATCAGAGACTCTAGATGACTATGGAAGGGAGGGTCCACTGCTGGGCCCTAAAAATGATAACAGCCACTGGATCTGCACTGTCTGGTAGGATAGCCACTAGCCACTTGTGGCAGCCGGGACTGAGAAATGCTGCAAATGTAAAATACACACTGGATTTCAAAGAAAGTGTTAGGGTGTGAAGTCGATAGGCGAGGGGAGAAAGAATTCCCAGACAGTGGTTAGGATATACAAAAGTAAAAGTTTATTCATTTTCCTGAAAAAGAAAAGAGTGGCCGTGACACACGCAGGGAGGAAAGAAATGTCAGGGAGTGAGGAAAGTTGCTTGGTGCTTTTAAGAGTAGAAATGTTTTTGTTTTTTTTTCTCTCTCTCTGCTTCAAGGGACTGATAACAAAAGCGGCTGTGAGGCTGCTGTGTTAGCCTTTTCTATTTCTCACGTAGCAGACTGATAGCAGAAATTAATTTCTTCTTTCTTCTTGATGGTGGGAGGCATCTGGTACTGTCTCTTCTTGAGGAAGCAGGGGAAGTTCTCACTCCTGTCCACTCAGGAACTTTTTCAAGGCTGAAAACGAACTCAAAGATAACAAGTTAGATCACATGTGTTTTAATTAAACAAAGGGTACTTGTGTTGTGAGTTTATTTCCCTTACTTTCTGTTTCATAGTTTATTTTCCTCTGTTTATTTTCCTCTGCTATTAGCAAGGCCACCTTCCAGATAGTACACAAAGAGTAGTATCTCATTATTTTTTATAATGACTACCTGTTGAAATGGTAATATTTTGGATGTATTTAGTTAAATAAAATGTTTAAAAAAATAAAAATAAATAAAATAGATGTTCCAGGAAGATAGTTTGTATTTAGTTTTTGGCTTCACCTACTTCCAGGCTTATAAGTATCCCAAGCTAAGGCCAGTTGAATCTTAGTCTGTGGGTTAGTCAGGCCCTGAGCCTGATTTGATTTCATTTTGAGTGGTCTGTAGCCCTGGACCAGATTGAGAAGCTGTAGGATTTTGAGCTTTTTTCCTTATCCCATTCTGACATAAACTCATTCCTTTAATATCCTGATCATTGAATAAAAACTTAGCACCCTTCTCCTTTTTATTGGTCCTTAACACTACCTGTACTGAACAGCTTAGAATTTATGCGATTTCTGGATTTACTACATAGCATATCCTCTGGAATGTACTCGGATCAAGTGATATGTTACACACAGTATTTTAAAGCCATACAAAATGTATTTTTATTCCAGTAACCATCCTCATAAGATCTATTGTAGAAATTTTAAAGGAGATATATATATATATATATATATATATATTTTTTTTTTTTTTTTTTGAGACAGAGTCTCACTTTGTTGCCCAGGCTAGAGTGAGTGCCGTGGCATTAGCCTAGCTCACAGCAACCTCAAACTCCTGGGCTCAAGCGATCCTGCTGCCTCAGACTCCTGAGTAGCTGGGACTACAGGCATGTACCACCATGCCAGCTTTTTTTTTTTTTTTTTACATATTTTTAGTTGTCCAACTAATTTCTTTCTATTTTTAGTAGAGACAGGGTCTCACTCTTGCTCAGGCTGGTCTCGAACTCCTGAGTTCAAGCAATCCTTCAGCCTCGGCCTCCCAGAGTGCTAGGATTACAGGAATGAGACACCATGCCTGGCCTAGTTTTGTCTTTGAAAGCTCTCATGCCTTAGTAGGGGTGAGCAGGGTACATAAAGGTGCATAAAGCTCAAGGAATCCTGCTGCCTCAGCCTCCTGGTAGCTGGAACTACAGGCATGTGCCACCATGCCCAGCTAATTTTTTCTCTATATAATTAGTTGTCCAATTAATTTCTTTCTATTTAGAGACGGGGTCTTGGTCTTGCTCAGGCTGGTTTCGAACTCCTGACCTCGAGCAATCCGCTGGCCTCGGCCTCCCAGAGGGCTAGGATTACAAGCGTGAGCCACTGCACCCGGCCATAAAGGCTACATATTTTTAAGGACTATGTGTTTTAGATGAACTTTAGAGGAAGAAGAAGAATTTTTCTTCAATGCCCACAGGTTCCTAGTTAGAACTGAACCTTGTAACAAAAGACAGATCAACAAGAGAAAAACAGAAATTTATTAACATAGTAACCATTCATTAAAAGATAGCTACTAATATCATGATTAATAAAAATATACCCAAATTAGTATAAGAACTGGAAGAAGAAAACAACAACCTGGGGAATTAACATTTAAGCTAGGAATTAAAAAATAATTTTTTTTTTTTTTTTTTTGAGACAGAGTCTCGCTTTGTTGTCCAGGCTAGAGTGAGTGCCGTGGCGTCAGCCTAGCTCACAGCAACCTCAGACTCCTGGGCTTGAGTGATCCTTCTGCCTCAGCCTCCCGAGTAGCTGGGACTACAGGCATGCGCCACCATGCCCGGCTAATTTTTTATATATATATCAGTTGGCCAATTAATTTCTTTCTATTTATAGTAGAGACGGGGTCTGGCTCTTGCTCAGGCTGGTTTTGAACTCCTGACCTTGAGCAATCCGCCCGCCTCGGCCTCCCAAGAGCTAGGATTACAGGCGTGAGCCACAGCGCCCGGCCCTAAAAAATAATTTTATCAAACAGACAAACTAGACTAAGGAAACATCACATAGAACAGTACGAAGCAAAGGCATGAACCAACAAGGACTTTCATAGGGAACTCAACACAGGCCGCAAATTCATGAACAACTTCAAATTTAGATGTATAATCTACAAATGGAAGTATACATAATCTTGTGACTGTGTCTGTAGTTAAAACATTGATTAAATCTGTAGGGGCCAAGGGAAAACTTTCCCTATGCCCTTTAAAAGTTTGCTGAAATGAACCAACAAAAGGCAGATTAATAGGAGAAAAAAGGCTGGGCATGGTGGCTCATGCCTGTAATTGTAGCACTCTGGGAAGCCAAGGAGAGCGGATCGCTCAAGGTCAGGAGTTCAAAACCAGCCTGAGCAAGAGCAAGACCCCGTCTCTCCTAAAAATAGAAAGAAATTAATTGGACAACTAAAAAAAAATATATATATATATATATATAGAGAGAGAGAGAGAGACAGACAGACAGACAGAGAGAAAGAGAGAGACAAAATTAGCCAGGCATCGTGGCGCGTGCCTGTAGTCCCAGCTACTTGGGAGACTGAGACAGAGGATTGGTTGAGCCCAGGACTTTGAGGTTGCTGTGCGCTAGGCTAATGCCAAGGCACTCTAGCCAGGGCAACAGAGTGAGACTCTGTCTCAAAAAAAAAAAAAAAAAAAAAAAAAAAAAAAAAAAAAAGGAGAAAAAGGGCATACAAAAGTGATTGTGCACTAATATGGAAACCATACACAAAGCATGAGGCTCAAAGAAGGTCCAGATAGTTGAGCCCAAATACTCTGTTCATAGGAAAGAGATGTATGAATTTGGGAGGTAGACATTATTTTGTAAATGATTCTCTTTGGAAGCTGAATGAGACAAGTTACAGGAAGGTACAAATGTTGTCTTATTACGCAGATAAAGTCCCCCAGGTAATCTCTGAGCTGCCTTCGGAAGAATAAATGCAAAATCTGTCTGGACATGTGTTACAGCAAGTGTTACAGAGGGTGGTTCTGAGGACAAACCGAGCGGCACACGGAGAGTCAGAGAATCAAAGTTGATTTGCCGGTGGGCTCAGAGAGGTCTTGCCACCAAATTCTGAGCCCAGTCTACTGGATTTTGCCCACTTTTATTAGGTTGGGGTAGTCCGAGGGGTGGGGGTCTCAGGTGGCTAATGCCTGCCAGGTAATAGGTTAATTGATGTGTCAGGTAATAGGTTATTATTATATTGCTGAACCAGGTAATAGGGTAGTTGGAGCACCAGCAAATAGGTTTAGTGTTATGCTGATGCACCAGGTAATAGATGGGGGTTTTCCTTATCACATGGTTAGGACTCCCAGTCTCTTCTCTTTTCTGGTGGTAAATCTTTCATGGTTATTTAATGAGATTCCTAGGGAGAGGGTCTTTTGGCAATCGCATTTCTTTTGGAAAGAAGTTTTCTTAGATAAGGAAATTCCAGAGTCCCTCCAGTGCTTCAGGTAAGAGGATCCGAGCGAGAGACAGGGAGGCAGAAGGTCAGAGAAAGACCTTGGTTCTGAGGCTTATTTCTGAGGCCTTTCAATTTGCAAAGCACTCAGCATGCCAATGCACCATATTTTGGGGAACCATAAAACCGTTTAAGTCAGCTGACTCCTACCAACAGCTAAACGTGACTGCCTATCCTTTATTAGCATAACTTAGCTGCTTGACTCTGATAAAAATGCTAAAAGCTGTGCTGAGCTACTACCTGTGTTAAGCGCTATTCTAGTTGGGAGATTCTTGTATTCTGTAAGACTTTTCCCCAAACTTCTCTGGAAAGAATTTCTAATCCTTTTGTTTTAGGAGGAAAGTCTATTTAGAGGCCCATCCCCACTCAAAAGTAACCATCTTATTAATTCCACCAATTAGCTTCAATCTCCCAACATTCCGCATGAGAATCACACCTTGCTGAAAATATCTCAGATAGTGATTCACACCTGGGTGTAAACTGCTTTCTTGGACTAAATTTTACTTGCAACAGGAAAAGGGAGAATTTATCTTGGAGACAACTTTAAGTAATGCGTGATTAGGCCCCTCGACTACAAGAGTATAGAAACTGTAGGGAAGAGAAGAAAAATCTTTTTCCCTCTACCCTTGTAGGTTCTCCAGCAGGGGGTCCTATAAATTCGATTGATAAAGGGCAGATTAACAAGAGAAGAACAAACAGAAGTTTATTAATATGTGCATCAAGCATATATGGCTAGCATTTGGGGGCAAGTGGTAGCTCACACCTGTAACCCTAGTGTTACAGAGGGTGGCCCCGCGGACAAACCATGAGGCACACGGAGAGCCAGAGAATCAAAGTTTAATTCTGAGCCCTGACTACCCGATTTTTCCCACTTTTATTAAGCTGGCATAGTCCGAGGGTTGGGGTATCAGGTCGCTACTGCCCGCCAGGTAACACGTTCAGTGTTATGCTGATGCACCAGGTAATAGGTTAGTGTTATGTTGATGCTTGTCTTCCGTGAGGGGTAGGGGGTCTCTGGTGGCTGACTCAGCGCCAAGTAATAGATGGGGGGTTTCCTTATCACTAGTACCTTTGGAGGCATGGACGGAAGGATCAGTTGGAGCCAGGAGTTCAAGACCAGCCTAAGCAACATAGCAAAACCTCTGTCTCTACAAAAAAATTTTTAAATATTAGCCAGGTGTAAGTGGCATGTGCTTGTGGTCCCAGCTACTGAGGAGGCTGAGGCAGAAAGAATGCTTGAGCCCAGGAGTTGGAGGTTGCAGTGAACTATGACACCACTGCATTCTAGCCCAGGCAACAGAGCAAGACCCTGTCTCAAAAACAAAAAAAACCCCTAGATAACTTACTAGGGGAAAGAAAAGACACTTTTGGAAAAACAAATGACTTTTTGGAAACATAAATGGGCCTTTATGAGGATAGGAGATTGGATCACTTGTGATGACGTTTGTTCAGATGTGGTGCCGACTTCTCATCTCTCTCTGAGATTAGAGTTGTTCCTAGTCCTGGGGGGACTTTATGATAATTGAGTTAAAATTTTGAGTTCTTTTATGAGTCTCTGCTTTTAGACAGGTAAGGGATTTCAGGAACTCAAAACAAGCAAAAAATGACATATTTTGGGGTAGCATATCCTGATTCCCTTCAAAAGAGTGCACAGATATTATGTTTCTGATTCCACCTAGGGTCCTATATGCTCTGACACCAGAAATCATCAATTCTGTCAGCCTTGGCTTGTGGTTTTATCACGATGCACTTTGGTCATATCTTTCTTTCCTGCTAGTGTTTAAAAGCAGTCAAATGCAGGAACTGCCTCATTTTATAAACTATTATTGAACTTATACTGGACACTAAACTACATGTTGGTTTACAAAGAAGAATAAACAAAAATCACTGCTAATAAGGAACACATGGGATGGGGGGAGTACTAAGATCCAAAGAAATGTAAAATGTGATAGATTCTGCAAGAATTGCTAAAGGGTCAGAAAAAAGCAAGTGTGTTTATTTGCCCTGAAGTAACCAGGGGAGAGGAGGATATCTATTATGAATTCTAGAGTGTTAGTTTAGGCATGTAGTGTGGTGATGCAAAGTGGCACCATTCAATGAGCAGACAAGAGATCCAGCTTTATAGGAGGAGGGAGAGAAGAAATCCCATGAGTCACACATTGGAGATTTTAAATTTAAACTTTTTTTTTTTTATACCAGGTCTTACTATGTTGCCCAGGATGGTCTCTAACTCCTAACCTCAAGCAATCCTTCCACCTCAGCCTCCTAAGTAGCTGGGAGTACAGGCACACACCCAGCTAAATTTAAACATTTTGATTTGGGGAGATTGAGCTTTGAAAATGACTAAAATAACACCATGTGGATTACATGTCTGGAGCCTGTTAGTCAGAATATATGATAGATTTAGGATTCATCAGTACTTAGAAGGTGGAGCTGAGGAAGAGATGAAACAGGACACATACTTTTTTTAAAATAATAAACATTTTTCAAAAAACCTCAATTCTTTCTGAGGCAGAAACCAGAACATTTTATCGTGGATTCTAGGACCTTGATAAAGTAAGGAACATGTTAACATAAAGGACCCCAATCAATTTCATAGGACAGTTTGTGGTATAGGGCAAATGTCCTCTTACAAAACACTCAGTTCAGCAAACTTTGCTAGCTTCATGTGGAGCCTCAACAGGGATAGTTTGGGCACTAAATCCTGGCTGAAAACAAGGGCTGATTTAGAGGATCTGGAAAAACGAATGTACAAAATATCCCTCAGTCCTCTGTATATGGTGGGCCCTCTGAATCAGCAAGTTCCACATTCGACCAACGGCAGATCGAATTTTTTTCTTTTTTCTTTTGAGACAGGGCTGGAGTACAATAGCGTCATCGTAACTCACTGCAACCTCCAACTCCTGGGCTCAAGCGATGATCCTGCCTCAGCCTCTGGAGTAGCTGGGACTACAGACTACAGTTTTCTACTTTTCTGTAGAGACAAGGTGTTGCTGTTGTTCAGGTTGGTCTCAAACTCCTGACCTTAAGGCGACCCTCCAGCCTCAGCCTTCCAAAATGCTAGGATTACAGGCGTGAGCCACCTGGCCCGGCCTGAAAATATATATATATTTTTTTTAAGTTGACCACAAATGGTCTACGGAAAAATAAAATTATAACAAAAATAATACAAATAAGGCAATACGGTAGAACTATTTACATAGCATTTACACTGTACTGTCATAGGTAACCTAGAAATGATTTAAAGTATAAGGAGGATGCAAACACCATGTAGTTTTCTATAAAGGATTTGAGCACCCTCGGATTTTGGTATCCGCCGAGAGTCCTGGAATCAATCCCCCACAGAACCGAAGGAGAACTGTATCGTTTCTTTCAACAGCGTTTTGACTGGATATATTGCGATTCACTGACCTCCAAGAGAAGATCTGGCAGTATACTGAGACCAATTTTCCTAGAAACTGACTTCCTCTGGGTGAGCTGCAATACCACGGCTCGGCACAACAAAATGGAGACTGGACTCGGGTTATGGCGAACGTGTCCCCTCCCCTCCCCCTCCACACACGAATCCCAGCTGCCGCTGCTCTTGAGATCGCCTCAAGAGGGTCTGCCTAATTACTGGAACTGCTTTCCCCGCAGTTTTACGTAACCAAGGTTCGGAATCCTCTAGTCAGGATTAGATCAGGCGCTGGCGCCCTCTCCTTCCCATCTCTGGCCTCCATTTGCTCTTCCTTTGGCTTCCACCAGACCTTTCCTCTTAGCCCCAGCGTAATGCCTCCCGGGAGCACAGGGACGCAGACACAGGCGACAGCGGCTGCAGAATCTGGAACCTTCAGGTTGGGATCTGAATTCTCCCGGGGACTACGGTATATCGGTTAAAAAAAAAAAAAAAAAAAAAAAAGAGGGCCCTGTGGAGGGAGGAGGAGGGAGAGGAAACCGGAAAGGAATGACGAAATGTGGAGAGGGCGGAGACAATTTACAATGCTTCCCGCCGGCGCACTTTCGGTTTTCAATCTGGTCCGACGTTCGTGTATATCAAGGGTAAAGCCGCACTGGCTAGCCTCAGACTGTGTCGTCGGCGTTGCAGTCATGTCTGGCAGGGGAAAAGGCGGAAAAGGTCTCGGCAAAGGCGGCGCTAAGCGCCATCGCAAGGTCTTGAGAGACAACATCCAGGGCATTACGAAGCCCGCCATTCGGCGTCTTGCTCGCCGCGGAGGCGTCAAGCGGATCTCTGGCCTCATTTATGAAGAGACTCGGGGTGTGCTGAAGGTGTTCCTGGAGAACGTCATCCGGGACGCGGTCACCTACACGGAGCACGCCAAGCGCAAGACTGTCACTGCCATGGACGTGGTGTACGCCCTTAAACGCCAGGGGCGCACCCTGTATGGTTTCGGAGGCTAAGTCGCCATTTCAGCTTTGTATTTCAGTCCCAAAGGCCCTTTTTAGGGCCACCCATAAAATCACCAAATGAAGCTGGGCACTGAACACAAGCCGGAAGGCAGAAGGGAATTTAGCACTTAGTTCTTGGGCTACAGTCGGTACACGGAAGGCTACCGACGCCCAAGGCGTTGGCAGCCCTAAAGAGCTAAATCGTTTGCTAAAACGGCCTTTCATTTGTTTAGCCATTTATCGATCTGAAAGGTTGGCAAGCACCAGGTTTAAGCATTACGGTGGCTTGCTTGTATAGAGTCAGCCACCTTGGGTGGACGCGCTGTCATAGTTTTTGGTCGCTGGAACTTGAAGTAGGAAGCCAGAGATTTAAACATAGGCTAAGCCCCTCAGTATGTAGCCTCGCTGCACTTAACGCAAAGTAGAAGCAGACCTGCATTTGCAGTCGAGGCACCAGTTCTCAAACCTGTAGTGTCTGGATTTCTGTCAGCTTTTGGGCTTTATTTTCTTTGCCCGGTTAATGGGGGGCCAGATAGATGACTCAAGGGCCCATTCATATTAGATGTCTGGGAACACCTTTATGTACCCTGCTCACCCCTAATAAGGCATGAGAGCTTTCAAAGACAAAACTAGGCCGGGCATGGTGGCTCATTCCTGTAATCCTAGCACTCTGGGAGGCCGAGGCTGAAGGATTGCTTGAACTCAGGAGTTCGAGACCAGCCTGAGTAAGAGTGAGACCCTGTCTCTACTAAAACTAGAAAGAAATTAGTTGGACAACTAAAAATATGTTAAAAAAAAAAAAAAAAGCCTGGCATGGTAGCACATGCCTGTAGTCCCAGCTACTCAGGAGTCTGAGGCAGCAGGATTGCTTGAGCCCAGGAGTTTGAGGTTGCTGTGAGGTAGGCTGATGCCATGCACTCCAGCCTGGGCAACAGAGTGAGACTCTCTCAAAAAAAAAAAAAAAAAAAAAAGCCCAAGCTAATCAACTATTCAAAGCCAAACATAAATGTGTGTTATTAGATCAGACAACCTCCTCTATAAATGTTTTGGGCAAGTTGTCTGCCCAGTACATGAACAGTATGCATTTCTTGTGTTCCATAAAAAGAATTTAGTCAAGGACGTACTGTCTTTCAGTTGTGGCATTGCAAGGACACAGATGCAGGGACATTGTAACGTGATAAAAGTGAGCAGACTTCATAATCTTAGAGCAAGTCTCCAAGGAACAGATAATTCAGGTATGTAACTTTTATCTGTAGGGCTTATTGTGGCTAAGAATGAGAGACCTTCAGGAATATAACCCGCAGTCAGTACAGAAAGCACAATTTAATTTTGACAAGGCAAAAGCAAATTATTCTACATCAGCATGGCAAATGCAAAGACACTATCAATTCTAAACTGCCCTGATCTGGATTGAAACGTGGGTCCACACTTCTAAACCTTAAGCTTAATTATAGTTTTGCAAACTTTTTGTTTTTTGTATTCTAGGTTTACGATTTTTACAGCGAAATTTGGCTATGTACATAATCAAATTCTATGTCAGTTCCCAAAAGATAAACCAGCAATTGCTTTATTGGTCTTCACATTTGGCTGCTGTGGTCAGCATCAAACACTTGAGGGTGAACTAGGTTTAAAACATGGTGCTTAGTAATGGAGATGCCAGCAAGGCAAGAGATATAAGACCTGCCTTTACCATCAGAAAAGGGAAGACACGCATAATACATAAAATACATGGAAATAAATACATATAAGACTAAGTGGCCCAATAGTACAAGGCAGCACATATTCAGTATGAGGAGAAATGTAGATAGTAACTACTATAGGGAAAGCTTGGCCATGGAGGTGGGGCTAGTGCCAGGCTTTGAATGATGAGCAGAATGCCTGGGCTCTTCTCGGACCTTCGCAGTTCTAGGTGCCGACTCACAGTGCATTCGCAATGCCACCTGGAAGCCTCAATGCCTCGTGGAAGTGGAAGCCGAAATCTCCCGAATGGCTGGGCCAGCCAGCGGGGCCCCTCAGATGAGAACTGCACCCAGGACAGCACCAGCAGCTCAGCCACCAGCAGCAGCCCCACCATCTGCAGTTGGCTCACCTGCTGCTGCACCCTGGCAGCCAGGGCTAATGGCCCAGATGGCAACCACTGCAGCAGTTGTGGCTGTGGCCTCTGCAGTCGGGCACACACTGGGTCATGCCATGACTGGGGGTTTCAGTGGAGGACGTAATACTGAGCCGTCAAACCCTGACATCACTTACCAGGAGCCTCAGGGAAGCCAGGTGGCACAGCAGCAGCAGGTTGGCCCTTGCTTCTATGAGATAAAGCAGGTTTTGAAATGTGCCCAGAACCAGAGCGACCTAAAGCTCTGTGAGGGTTTCAGTGAAGTGCTGAAACAGTACAGACTTGCAAACAGATTATCCTAATCAAGAAGTTGAAACTGAAGAAATGAAAAACTGGCTCTCAAGAGCAAGTTAATTTAGTAATTGATAGTGAAAGTATAAAGTGTAAAATCATCAGTTAAACCTCTCTTCTGTCATTTAATAGCTTCCTTGCTTTAGAATTGCAGTGGAAGAGGGAGTTCTTACTGTGTAGAAGATCACTGAGATGGTAAAGAATTGGGGGCTGGGCAACTGTTGGTGTGGCCTCCTTAAACCAGTGGTTGTGATGTTATTTGTAAGGTAATTAAATAAAGTGATTTCCTTCCAGAAAAAAAAAAAAAGATTGCAGATGTCCTACTGAGATCTACAGTAAAGGGTGTGGGGCAGGGGCATAAATGGCAAAGATAACATTTGTGAGGCTGTGCTTATGAGAAATAAGAAGCTTTAATAAGATGTTTCATTTTCCCTCTTAAGTCTCACCTGCAATTTATAGCATTTCTATTTCAAATATCACTGATTTGTTTTAACTTTAAAGACATTGCAGGCCGGGCGCGCTGGCTCACGCCTGCCTGTAATCCTAGAACTCTGGGAGGCAGAGGCGGTTCAGGAGCTCGAAACCAGCCTGAGCACTACATTCTTATTTTATTCCTTTGAAACCATTCACTCTGTACTTTATATTCTAGCTAACATGATATACATGTTATTTCTATACTTGAGCCAAAAGAACTGAACTGTCATTTATACAGAATGTTACTAGTATATATATGTACAAATATAGAATTATAGATTTTGGTTTTTTCATCTTCATTGAACATTTCTGAATTGAATTTCTTATAAACATGAATATAATTCACCCCCCAAACAATCATAAGTTAAATAGGTAGATAATCTGGACTATATGAACCATGGCAAATCCCAGTTTTGCCAAAGTTAAATTTTTTCATCTTTAATGTTATTGAGAATTCCTGCCTTTCTCACAAGCATATTTTAAGGATCAAGTAAAAAGTTCTTTGTGAAAGAAGATTGAAGCCATGGAGTGACATAGAAACCAAAGGGGATGATGTACTTATTGCGTATTTCACCCAATCTAGTTCTTATATGTTCTATAATCACTGGGGGTAGGAGGGATTTTCCATAGCTAGAATTTATAGAGCAAGGGGGATAGTGGGTAAAGATGAGGTATAAACAGGTTGGCAGGGCCAGATTTTTCAGGATTCGACCAGAAAAATGTAAAGTCAATATAAAGAATCAATGGACTCCCCCAGCTGACTTGACTGTTATAATGTGTTAAATGTATTAAGAATATTCAAATCCTCAGAACATCAAAAGTTGAATATTATCTCCATTTTATAAAGGAAGAAACTGATGTTTATGCAGTTTAAATAACTTGGCATTCCCTGATACACTATGATGCTCCTGAATTTTACTAAAATATTTGTCTAAAATTGGCAAATCACAAATAATCTTTAAGGATCTATTAATATATTTGTCATATGTATTTAATGGAACAATAGGCCGTTAGGGTTAGAAGGACCCAAGAAATCATCTAGCTCAATTTCCTCATATTTTTCCTCCAGTTACAGGATAAAACTCTTCTCTAACTTCCTGTCTCTATCAGATCCGTAAGTGATATAGATGTTCCTCAGAGGCCTGTCCTTGGAGCCATCTCTTATGCTATTTCCAGTGGACAGCTCTGACCCAGTATGGCCTGAAGTGAACTCTCTTCAGCAGCTCCTCCTCCCAGGCTGCCTATTCCTGTGAAGGTGGCATCGTCCTCCCAGTCACTCAGGCAGAAAGGTCTGGAGTCATCTTTGATTACTTTTTGCCTCAACAACTCCTTGTTACCCTTTTCCTCATCCAGGTTCAGGCCATCTTCTACGTGCAATAAAGGTAACAACTTCCCTGCAGTCCATTGCTGTGGCTGATTCTCTTGTTCTCATCCTTAGCATCTCCCATTTGCTAAATCTCTGGTCTGAGACTTGGCCTCCTGCCTCAGGTGCTGCTCGCTTCTGATTCCTTTTTCACCCTCTACCCCAGATTAACCGTAAAACACAGCTAATTATGTTACCCACCTGCTTAAGGCACTGTTGGTTTTTCTCTTAGCCTTTTATCCTTATTTCCTGATCTTTTCTCATCCCATAGAAAACCATTCTGCTATGTCTAAAGTGTCTTTTTGTTTCTATGTATGATTCCAAAATGTACTAATTATTTTAATTTTCATATATAGTATTGTTTTCAACCTCATTCCATTTATTACCATATTTCCCTCAGAAATGTTTTTAAGATCTGTCCTTGTTAGGTGTTGCTATGGTCTAAATGTATACACCCCCAACTTTTATGTTGAAACTTAATCACCAATATGATAGTATTGAGGTGGGCCCCTAGGAGGTGATTATGTCATAAGACCCCTCATGAATGGGACTAGTGACCTTCTAAAAGAGGTGCAAGGGACACCTTCTACCACTCGAAGACACATAGAAGGTACCATCTGTGAGGAACAAGTCCTCACCAGACACTGAATCTACTGATACCTTGATCTTGGACTTTCTAGTTTCCAGAACCATGAACAATGAATTTCTGTTGTTTATAAACTACTTAGTCTAAGGTGTTTAGTTATAGCAGCCCAAATAGACTAAGATAGGTGTCCATTTAATCTCTTATTGCTGCAGAATACTCCATGGAATGTGTCACATTTTATCCACTCTCCCAGTGAAGAATGTTCACATTGTTTACAATGTCCCATCATTCTCATCATGTTCTCTCATAGACCTATGTGAGAATTTCTTTTGGATAAATATCCAAGAATTGCTGGTTCCTATGATCTGTGGCCGCCCCCAGCAAGGCACCAAGCATCTAAGCCCTCCATTCCAGCCAATCCTTAGTATTATTCAGTTTTCCACTATTTGCTGAACTATCCAGTATAAGGTGACACCTCATTATTGTTTAATTTGCCTTTCTCTGATTATTATGAGCATCCCAGCATATATTAGATTTAGTGTTTCCTCTTCTATAATCCACCCCGTTCATATCTTTTCTCCTACACTGTTTATAGCATAAAACCTATCCCCTCCCCTTTGGCATTCAAAATTCTAAATAAGCTGGCCTCAGTCTCCACCACTAAACATTTATTTCTCATTTACTGGCCTTGGCCTACTCTGTGCAGTCGCCACCATCCACAATTCTCCTTTTATTTTTCTGGTTCTTCTTCCTGGATTAGATGAAAGTTTCCTACAGGAAGACCTCCAGAATTGATCTTTGCCTCTGAACTCCAGATAATTCAATTTGCATCTTTCTTCACCGCTTATCAAAGCATGCCTTCCATTAGAGTGCATGTCTTCTCCTCACAGAGCCCAAAGATCTAGTTCCCCTTTCTGCAAACTTGCATACCCACCCCTTCCTATGAAAAGATACTGGGATTCCTACTGAACAAAATAATAGATTTTAATCCGGCTGGGATTTTCACTTTGTTCTGTGTAATTTTCTCTATTGCAGTGGTTTCCAGTTGCAGGTTGCAGATATTATCATAGTTGTTAATGATGCCATTAATACTGATTTATTACCACGGGAGACTGTGTTCTAAATATTTCGTGTAGGGTGTATTACTTCTTTTCTTCCTCACAGCAATTCTGAAGTGGGTGAAATTATCCTGTTTTACACATGAAGAAACTGAGATCCAAGTCTTTTCTCTCTGGAGCCTTTTCCTGCTTAAGGGTCACTACGCTTTGGCTCTACCCTTCAAGGGGCCTCAAGTCCCAATTCACATCAGTGAGGTCCCCACATTTGTTTCCCATCCCTTTTCTCCCCTCTGCCATCCTTCCTCCCATTCTCTCCCTGCCTCTCTTTAGACATACTTCATTCACTGCTCTTGAACAAACTGCAATTCCCTACTACATCCCAAAGAAATTCTGTCCGCAGGGCTAACTCTGATTATCTTCCGGGTATACAAAAACAAAACTCCCCACACCTCTAGAAGAAAACATGTTAAGAAACGACCGCATCCGGGCTGAAAATCTAAGACACAGATCGCAACTTTTAGAGTGGACTGCCTTCCCAGGGCCAGAGTGACTCTGCGTCTGTGGACCTGGATGGGCAAAGATCGGTTCAATTAAGGGCAACGTGACAAGTATGCAGCCACCCCTAACCCACGGGGTTTTTTTGACTTAGGGAACAGAATGTGGGGAATGTTATCCAACTGACCGAGGCATTACCAGCCACACCTACAACCGATTCGTAGCCTCAAAGCAGAAATCCCCAACTTTAAAGGGCAGAAATGTCACGAGACAAATTTGCTGAATCCCCTAGGCCTAGGGCGGCGCCTGGTGAAGTGTTTCGGCGGGAGCGGAGGCCGCCGGCGCGGGCCAACGGGCGCGCCGCCGTCGGCTCCGGGAAAGGCCAGCCCAGCCCAGCCGCGCCCGGGAACTGCGAATCTCCAGCGTCCCCTAGTGACTCCCGGCCTCAACTCATTCTCCCCAGTGACACCCTTCTCCTCACCGCCAGCCCATCCCCACCCCCACCCCCGGCAAATACCAATTCTGCGCCGCCGTCGCCTAGAATTAGACGCCTCAGGCCGGCCGCTGTGGGAGGGCCAGCGGCCGTCCAGAGGTGCAAACCTGCGTGTCCCGGCCGCGCGCAAGGACGCAGCGGCAACCTCGCCGGCCCACACAAGCAAGCTGACCGAACTCCGTTACAGCCCGAAATGGCACCGCAGGAAGGGACTGGACCGATACCTGACCTCCAACACTTCACCCGGAGGCTGACTAGTTAACGCTTTCCCCGTTCTAGGGCCGGAGGGAAGAGCACGGAGGGCAAGCGACACAGCTCCTTCCGAGTGCTGCTGTGGGTGGCTCTGAAAAGAGCCTTTGGATGTGATGGAACCTAGAGCCGAGCGCGCGTTTCTTAAGCCCGCTCCCCGCGGATGCGGCGGGCCAGCTGGATGTCCTTGGGCATGATGGTCACTCGCTTGGCGTGGATGGCACACAGGTTCGTGTCTTCGAACAACCCCACCAGGTAGGCCTCGCTCGCCTCCTGCAGCGCCATCACGGCCGAGCTCTGGAAGCGCAGGTCCGTCTTGAAGTCCTGCGCGATCTCGCGCACCAGCCGCTGGAAGGGCAGCTTGCGGATCAGCAGCTCGGTGGACTTCTGGTAGCGCCGGATCTCCCGCAGGGCCACGGTGCCCGGCCGGTAGCGGTGCGGCTTCTTCACGCCGCCCGTGGCCGGCGCGCTCTTGCGGGCCGCCTTGGTGGCCAGCTGCTTCCTCGGGGCCTTGCCACCGGTCGACTTACGGGCGGTCTGCTTTGTGCGGGCCATAGCGAAACAGAACGCGAGCTCACCGACGCCGCGGCAGGGGCAGAAACGGAATCCCGGCCGGCGGCAAGCAGTCTTTATAGGCACAGTCTTTGCCCGATTGGGCGGGACGGTAATTGAAAGTCCCGCGCTGGCTGTCCATTGGCCGTGACGTTCCCGGTGCCAGAGTCACCGGTTGGCTTGGGCAGAGTCCTCTCTAACCCCGCCTCCTCGCCTCCCTTTCTGCTTTGCGGTTGGCCAACAGTTTTCCAGTCTTGTTTTTTTTCCTCATTCTTCCAGGACGAAAGTCATTTTCGATTGCAGCTTTGTCAGATTGTTCCTCCCCAGCCTTTCACCTCCTTAGAACGCGCTCCCCACCGTACCCCTTTTCCTGTCTTCGCCGCGTAGCTCCCAAGTTGAACTTCGACCTTCCGTCTGTGTCCCCCTACCCCAGCTGCTTCTCGGCGGACCGTTTTCCGCCTGTTCGGCGCTTTTCTGAAGGGAAAGTTGCCCGCCTCCACGGCGCAAGGTTCCGCCTCCGGAAGCCCGAGACGGGAGCCTGCGTCTCTGCTGCGAAAGCGCTTAAGCGGGCGGGGGAGCCGCTAAGCCAAGACCCGGCTCCCCGCACTCCCGAAGCCCGCGCGCCCCCCTATCGACCGGGGCTGCGGAGGGTGTGGCGAGCACGCACCCCCACGCCCAGTGCGCGACCTCGCCTAAGTATCGGCGGAGGCCTGCGGGAGCAGCTGAGGGCGCGACAGCAGCTGCTGTCGATGGCGCTAGTGTTCACGCCCGAGCCGCCCGCCGGCGCCCTAGGTGTTTGGGACCTCCACCTGCGCTGCTCAGTCCGAAGACTGAGGAGTACGAAGGGAGTGATGTGTCGAGACCCGAGGTCGAGAAGCGGCCGGGAGTAAGGGGCACATGGTTCCGCCCCCACCCACACCTCCCGTCATCGCCGGGCTCGGCATTCACTACTGGGAAAGAGGGGGACCGAGGAGACTAACCAACGTAACAGCTCTTTATTTGAAATAGTGGGTGGCTCTGAAAAGAGCCTTTGATTTCACAGGGGATCCCTATCTGAGACGCAGGCTGGGCTGAGTTTCCGGATGTAGGCCTCACTTGCCCTTTGCCTTGTGGTGGCTCTCAGTCTTCTTAGGGAGCAACACGGCCTGGATGTTAGGCAAGACGCCGCCCTGGGCGATGGTGACCTTGCCCAGCAGCTTGTTCAGCTCCTCGTCGTTGCGGATGGCCAGCTGGAGGTGACGGGGGATGATGCGCGTCTTCTTGTTGTCTCGGGCCGCGTTGCCCGCCAGCTCCAGGATTTCCGCGGTCAAGTACTCGAGGACCGCCGCCATGTAGACGGGCGCGCCGGCCCCCACCCGCTCGGCGTAGTTGCCCTTGCGCAGCAAGCGGTGCACTCGCCCCACCGGGAACTGAAGGCCGGCGCGGGACGAGCGCGACTTGGCCTTAGCGCGGGCTTTGCCTCCTTGTTTGCCACGACCAGACATGACAGCGACAGTCACTGCAAGAAGCTCCCGCTTGACGACCGAGAAAGTCGCCGCAAATGGGGCTGCTTCACTCTTTTATAGGCAGAACGGGGATTGTCCACCGAGCACTCTGATTGGCTAAAGCACAGCTTTGTCCCGATGGCCAATAGGCTAGCTCAGCCAGAATCTACTCATTTACATAATCTCGTCCCCTGGCTTTGGCGCCGCTGAAAATGAGCCAATCACAACGCGGCGTAATCGGAACCTTAATTTGCGTACAGCCTCTATAAGTACAGAGTCGTTTCCGGCAGGCCCCGTCCTAGTTCTACTGTTGCGCTTGCGGTCCTTGCTGCTCGTGCTTGTCGCTATGCCTGAGCCAGCAAAGTCCGCTCCGGCTCCCAAGAAGGGCTCCAAGAAAGCCGTCACGAAAGCCCAGAAGAAGGATGGCAAGAAGCGCAAGCGCAGCCGCAAGGAGAGCTACTCCATCTACGTGTACAAGGTGCTGAAGCAGGTCCACCCCGACACCGGCATCTCGTCCAAGGCCATGGGCATCATGAACTCGTTCGTCAACGACATCTTCGAGCGCATCGCCGGCGAGGCGTCCCGCCTGGCGCATTACAACAAGCGCTCCACCATCACGTCCCGCGAGATCCAGACGGCCGTGCGCCTGCTGCTGCCCGGCGAGCTGGCCAAGCACGCCGTGTCCGAGGGCACCAAGGCGGTCACCAAGTACACCAGCTCCAAGTGAGTCCCTGCCGGGACGCGGCGCTGGCTCGCGCGAGTGGCCGGCCTCTTGACTCCAAAGGCTCTTTTCAGAGCCACCTATCTCCTCCCTGAAAGAAGCTGTCTTCCTGCTGCTTCTCGCAATTCCTTGTAAGTCCCTAACATCCGCCAGATCCTTTCCTTAGTTAATATACGCCTTCTTCGGATGACGGGAACGGAACACTAGGTGGAGCCATATTCTGTAGGTCAGTGGAAAGATAACTTGGGAGTACGTTCTTGAGTGTAGATTTTCCCTATTCCAAAACGAAACCGTATGCAGCACGTACTGATCAATAAAAACCTCAACAGAATGGAAGCGTTAAGCAGTGGTTAGCCTAAAGCAATTAGATTTGCGAAGTAACTGCAATTTATATCAAGTTTTCAAAACTTTGTAGTAACCTAAAAAATATTTGTATGCATATAAATAAAGCAATACTCCTGCAACCATGTGTCAGGATCTGTAGCAGACTTTTGTGTGTGTACCTGGCTATCTGAATTCTGTGGTTAAAGTAGTTTTTAGTTTAAACAGCCCCTTTACCTCACTTTGGTATTCCAGTACACTGAATAAACGTGTAATCTATTTCTCAGTTTCCAGACATTAAACATCACAATAAAATAATACAAAAGGCTGCTTTTTATTTGTGTTATAGGTGGTAGACCTGTTTACCCAGGTGTTGATAACATACAATTCTCCATAGTTGTAGTTTGCTATTTTATCATTTTATGGATAAGGTAAGGAGGAAAGATGCTTAAGGATTGCAAGAAACCAGGCCTGCTAATTATAGAATGTCCCCCAGAGAGTACCCAGAAGCTTGTATTGTTAAAACTTAGCCATGGCCGCGATTGGTGGCTCACTCTTGTAAACCTAGCACACTGGGAGGCCAAGGTGGGAGGATTGTTTGAGCTCAGGAGTTTGAGACCAGCCTGAGCAAGAGCGAGACCCAGTCTCTACTAAAAAAAAAAAAAAGTAGAAATTAGCTGGACAACTAAAAACATATAGAAAAAATTGGCCGGGTATGGTGGCACATGCCTGTAGTCCCAGATACTTGGAAGGCTGAGGGCAGTAGGATTGCTTGAGCCTAGGAATTTGAGGTTGCTATGAGCTAGGCTGATGCCAAGGCACTCTAGACTGGGTAACAGAGTGAGACTCAAAAAAAAAACCTAGCCTTAAAAACATTTTTTCCTTCTGTAGTGGGCAAGGAGAAAACTTCTGTTTCTTCTGTACAGGACAAGGAAAAAAGCTACAATGCCATTATAACACCCAACAAATATTGATTCAATAATGACAGTAACTAATATACAATGTATATTCAAATTTCTCCAACTGTCAAAAAAAATCCTGTATAGCTGTTGTATTACTTTCCTATGGTTGCTGTAACAAATTACTACACACTTGGTGTTTTAAAACATTTCTTTTTTGTTTGTTTTTGAGACAGAGTCTCACTCTTGCCTGGTCTAGAGTGCAATGGTGTCTGCCTAGCTCACAGCAACCTCAAACTCTTGGGCTCCAGCAATCCTCCTGCCTCAGCCTTAGGGGTAGTTGGGACTACAGGAATATGCCACTGTGCCCGGCTAATTTTTTCTATTTTTTTTTTTTTTTTAGTTGTTTTGGCTAATTTCTTTCTATTTATAGTAGAGGCGGGGTCTCACTCTTGCTCAGGCTGGTCTCAAACTCCTGAGCTCAAGCAATCCTCCAGCCTAGGCCTCCCAGAGTGCTAGGATTACAGCATGAGCCACCATGCCCAGCCTAAAACAATATTTCTTTATTCTCTTACAATTCTGGATGTCAGAAGTACAAAATCGTTTCACTACCTGGAAATCAAGACTGTGCTCCCTCCAGAGGCTCTAATGGAGAGTCTGTTTCCATCCCTTTTCCAGCTTCTAGAGGGTTTTTCTGGTTTTATTGTCCCTTCCTACATCTTCAAAGCCAGCATCCTACCATCTTCAAATCTCTCCTTCTATTGTCTCCTTCCCTTGACCTTCTTGCCTTTCTCTTATAAGAACTTTGGTGATTATACTTGGGGTCTACCCACATAATCCAGGATGATCTCTCAATCTCAGAATCACCTCTGCAAAATCTCTTTGGCCATATAAAGTAATATTCACAGGTTCTGGGGATTAGGATGTGGACATATTCAGAGGCCATATTCAGCCTACTGAAGCTGTTGACTACTGTTATAGGTTGAATTGTGTCCACAAATACAAGCCTAAGTCTAACCCCCAGTGGCTTACAATTTTGCCTTATTTGAAATAGGGTCTTTGTAGGTGTAATCAAAGTAAAAATGAGGTCATTTTTAGGGCGGGCCCTAATCCAATATGATTGGTATCCTTATACTAAAACAGACACAGGAAGAAGTCTGTGGCAGAGATTAGAGTTATGATGCCTCAAACCAGAGAACTGGGGCTACCAGGCACTGAAAGACAAGAAAAGCCCTAGTGTCTTTGGAGAGAGCATGACCCTGCAAACACCTTGATCCTGCAAACACCTTGATTTCAGACTTCTAGCCTCTAGAACCATAAGAAAATAAATTTCTGTTGTTTTAAGCCATATAGTTAATGGACTTCGTTATGGTACCCCTAGGAAACTAATACAACTACTAAAATTTTTAATAGATTTACACAGTTTAAATTTTTAAATAAAATTTCACGTATTTTTATCCCTGTTGTTTCTTTCTTTTTTTTTTTTTTTTTGACAGAGTCTCGCTTGTTGCCCAGGCTATAGTGAGTGCCGTGGCATCAGCCTAGCTCACAGCAACCTCAAACTCCTGGGCTCAAGTAATCCTTCTGCCTCAGCCTCCCGAGTAGCTGGGACTACAGGCATGTGCCACCATGCCCGGCTAATTTTTATATATATATATTAGTTGGCCAATTAATTTCTTTCTATTTATAGTAGAGACGGGGGTCTCACTCTTGCTCAGGCTGGTTTCGAACTCTTGACCTCGAGCAATCTGCCCGCCTCGGCCTCCCAGAGTGCTAGGATTACAGGCGTGAGCCACCGCGCCCGGCCCCTGTCGTTTCTTTTATAATGGTAATATTAAATTTGGGCCTTACTCAAATATTGATTTTAGCACTTAGATATTTGTTCCAAATGTGTCCTTTGAGCACCTCTATTTGTCCTTATCTATACTATTTGACTTCTGTGAGACCTTTCAATATGAAAGGTTTGTCATCATTTTTTTCTTTTATCCTAGGAAACCATTTGTTAATATTCCTGAAGTGTTTCAAGATTCAAACTGATTCAAGAATGTCAGACAAATTGGCATAATTTGAGTTCAAAGGTACAGCAGAACTCCAAGCTTGGCTAAACTCCATGAGGGGCTCAGTTCTCTGATTCCCCCACACTGTCCCCTCCCCTGCATATTCTCTATAATTGTTCTTACCTTCATACCCACAAACCACCCCATCCTGATGCTGTCTCTTGAAAGCAAATGAACATCTTTCCCAAAAGAAAACAGCATTCTACACTTCCTTACTCAGTTCAATTCCCGAAATGTTAAAATGCCAATTAGATGGGTCTACATTCCTGAACAAATCACAGTGGGAAGGGAATTGAGCCAACATTTAAACTAATCAGCCCAACCCTAATACCTGGGTAAAATCTTTCTGGAAAATGTATGTGGCAGTATTGTTACAGAAACAGAAAAATAAATGCTTATAATACCCATTATTCCCACTGCTGTGTTCATAAACAGTCCTTAAAGGTGGTTTCGTATTGTCTTCACTGAGCCCCAGGTGCATCTTTCATACTGCCAATTGCACCTATCAACTTGCATATCAAATGGCTTCTGAAAAATCAGAACTCTGGATCTCCCCCTTCAGTGCCCCAACCAATACCTTCTCCCAGTATTCCAACCTAATTAACAGCACAACCGTTTACCCAATTGCTCAAGCCAAACATCTAGGGGTTTCACTCTTACCTAAATTCTATTCTAAAGCAAGACCTACTGATTCTACCTCTAAAATATATATTTTTTTTCTTTTTTTTCTCTTTGAACTAGAAAAGGCGATCGATACCTCTAAAATATAATCCAACATGTATGTCTCCATTACCACCACTGCACTCCAATCCAACATATCTATCCAGTGGTTCTCACACTTTAGAATTCCTCAATCACCCTAAGACCTTGTTAACACAAATTATTGAGACCTGAGAATGTTCATTTTTAATTGATGCTAGTTGGTACACCAGACTTTAAGAATAATTGCTCTACTGCAACAGCCTCCTAATTGGTTTCCCTGCTTCGACTGTGGCCAACCTAGGGATTCCCAAAGCAACCAGCATGATCTTTTAAGCTAATGAGGTTGTTATTCCACTTCCTATCTCTAGTAGCACAAGTGCTCCCAAAGCACTGAGAATAAACCCAATCAACCTCCCTTGCACTGTATTTGGGAGTCTTTGCTCCTCAAGCATTTCAAACTGTGGCTTCAAAAATTATGCATATTTTGTTGCCATTGTATGAAACTAATGCTTAAGTAGGATGAGCTTTTCTGAGTAATTCTTGTGGGGGAAAAATCCCACCATATAATACTAGGTGGATTTTAGGGTATGTGAAGTAGAAGGCATATATGGCAGCAGCATTATCTGTTAATTCTTGGGTTATCAAAATCAGGCTTCTATCTACTTCATTGAGGAATCTTCACATAAATGGTATAGGCACGTGCTTGTGAACCAAGGACACAAATTCAAAATTTCTAGGCAACATATATAAGTTGAATTATTTGTTAGTACCCACCTCAGAAGCATATAATGCAAACTATTAATTTCCACCATCATCTCACCACTGTTAAGGACTAGAATGTTATATATTTGTCTATTTAACTTTCTATCTTGCACAAACATCAAAATTGACACAGTATTTCTCTCGAAAACAACTTAATGAGCACATATTCACAGCTGAGGCTAAGCTAAAGTCAGTTTCAGGTTCAGTCTTCTCTGGCAACCCCCAACATATCTGTAGGTTAAGACTCGCCCACTACCCATGTAAGCATGCCTACACCAATGCTTAAACAGGTGAGACACAGATCCTTGTACTTAGTCCAGTTGTTGACTTTCTTGAACTCCTGACCTCAAGCCATCATTCTGCCTGGCCTCCCAGAGTGCTAAGATTACCGGAGTGAGCCACTACGCCCAGAAAGTCGATCAATTTTTTAAATAGAGATGCCAAAAAGAGAGCTAGGAGGGACAACACATGACAGCTTCTTTCAGGGAGGAGATAGGTGGCTCTGAAAAGAGCCTTTGGAGTCAAGAGGCCGGCCACTCGCGCGAGCCAGCGCCGCGTCCCGGCAGGGACTCACTTGGAGCTGGTGTACTTGGTGACCGCCTTGGTGCCCTCGGACACGGCGTGCTTGGCCAGCTCGCCGGGCAGCAGCAGGCGCACGGCCGTCTGGAGAGAGATAATAAGGCTAGCTCAGCCAGAATCTACTCATTTACATAATCTCGTCCCCTGGCTTTGGCGCCGCTGAAAATGAGCCAATCACAACGCGGCGTAATCGGAACCTTAATTTGCGTACAGCCTCTATAAGTACAGAGTCGTTTCCGGCAGGCCCGTCCTAGTTCTACTGTTGCGCTTGCGGTCCTTGCTGCTCGTGCTTGTCGCTATGCCTGAGCCAGCAAAGTCGCTCCGGCTCCAAGAAGGGCTCCAAGAAAGCCGTCACGAAAGCCCAGAAGAAGGATGGCAAGAAGCGCAAGCGCAGCCGCAAGGAGATGCTACTCCATCTACGTGTACAAGGTGCTGAAGCAGGTCCACCCCGACACCGGCATCTCGTCCAAGGCCATGGGCATCATGAACTCGTTCGTCAACGACATCTTCGAGCGCATCGCCGGCGAGGCGTCCCGCCTGGCGCATTACAACAAGCGCTCCACCATCACGTCCCGCGAGATCCAGACGGCCGTGCGCCTGCTGCTGCCCGGCGAGCTGGCCAAGCACGCCGTGTCCGAGGGCACCAAGGCGGTCACCAAGTACACCAGCTCCAAGTGAGTCCCTGCCGGGACGCGGCGCTGGCTCGCGCGAGTGGCCGGCCTCTTGACTCCAAAGGCTCTTTTCAGAGCCACCTATCTCCTCCCTGAAAGAAGCTGTCATGTGTTGTCCCTCCTAGCTCTCTTTTTGGCATCTCTATTTAAAAAATTGATCGACTTTCTGGGCGTAGTGGCTCACTCCGGTAATCTTAGCACTCTGGGAGGCCAGGCAGAATGATGGCTTGAGGTCAGGAGTTCAAGAAAGTCAACAACTGGACTAAGTACAAGGATCTGTGTCTCACCTGTTTAAGCATTGGTG